AGTTTTTAATTGGGCCATGTGGTTCAGCCGAGTGGCCTAGTCACAGGCCTGGTCCTCAGTTCATAGATCTAGTAAATGGTTCAGGAGTCCCTACCAGGTGTCCCTCTGACAGTTCACAGCATTCAGACTGGTGGCCAGTTTAGTGCCAAAATGGGTAGTTAGTTGATGGCTAAGGAAAAAACTTGTGGGTTTCCCAGAGATGTAGGTGCTTTTGGTACAAGTGAATTCCTCCTGGGGGAGGGGCGGGGAGAGGGCCACAGGGTTCTGCTACTGACCCTTGCTTTCCATGACCCGGTTCACAGAGCCATATTCTTCCAGTGAAGGTGTAGCTGTCAAATAGGTTAAGTCCTTTCTCTCGGGACCCAGTTTATAAGCTAATAGAGGACAATGTGGGGCAAAACTTGGAGACCACCTCTCTCTTATTGGTAATTTAAATATAAAAAAATGGGAATCACAAGACAGATGCTCAGAAACTAAATACCGGCGATGAAGCTTCAAAAAGAAATTAGTGGGTGCACATGTGCGCACACACACACATACCCCTCTTTTTAGGTCAATTTTGGGACATATATCTTGGGCTGATTTTGCTGTATATACTTTGGTAATCCCCTCTCTTGTCTCTTTCTTAAATGTGAAGTACATATCCCTCCCAGCTTTAAAATTGAGATCCCCCATGAAGAAAGAAGAATTCTCCAAAGGTTAAGAACCTCCCCCTACCCTGCCTCAGCCTGAGCCAAGGCCCACTTTACAGAAAAGAAATTTTCTAAGGTTTAAAACTTCCTGAAAGGTTATTGATTCTTCTCATCATAAGCTGAGAGACCCCTTTGAAGAAGGAAAAAACATTTCTCAAGAGTTTAAACTTCTTAGGGGAATTTCCCAGGCATTATATCACCAATTATTGCCAATTAGTCACACTATAACATGGACAGGATACCAAGACAAACAAACACAGCTGCAGCTTCCCCAACGGTGTGGGGGCTTACCTTGGCTTACTGGGGTGGGGAGCGTCAGGTCTCTGGTGCAATCCTCTTTGGAGAAATCCCCTCAGTGAAAATGTCAACTGAGCCCTCTGGGGGGGGCCCTCCCTAAGAGGCTCCTCTAGGGACTAGCCTCCAGCCCCAATCCCTTCATGGTCACCAAGCTGTTCTGGTAGAAGTTAAGGTAAACTGAGAGACAAAGTTCTGAGCATGATCAATTTATTAGTTAGGGTCTTTTTTTTTTTTTTGCTGGTGGTCAGTCTTTTTCAAAAGTCTGTGACCCCATTTTGGGTTTTCTTGGCAAAGATACTGGGGTGGTTTGCCATTTCCTTCTCCAGCTCATTTTACAGATGAGGAAACTGAGACAAACAGGGTGAAGTGACTTGCCCAGGGTCATACAGCTAGTAAGTGTCTGAAGCTGGATTTATACTCACGAAGATAAGTCTTCCTGACAACAGGCCTGGTACTCTATCCACTATGCCACCTAACTGCCCATTAGTTAGGCTAGCAATAACCAATAAATTGGGTCAATGGCCTCTCTCAATGATCAAAAATATTGAGTGAGGGTAAGATGACAGTGCAAAAATTTCAAGCAACATAGATGTGTCCTCTTCTGATTGGCTATTGATGACATAGTCAGAACTGAGATTACATCATTTGGACCTCCCCTTCTGAAACCTCCTTAATCACAGCCAAGATATGTGATAGAAGACAAAGGTTCTCAGGTGATGGGAATATTGTTCAGGCTGATGGGAGTTGCAGCTGATGGGAGTTGCTACAATAGTTTAAATATCTGTTATTTGACCATTTCTATAAATCAGGTTTCTCTGGAAAGTGAGCACTGGGTAGGGTTACAAAGATAAAAGCTTGATCTTTAGGGAAGCTTCTCTGGGATGTGGGTGGTGGGTGAAGCTTACAAGGGGAAGGAATCTACCTTGATAAAGTCTTAGCAAAATAGAATTAAAATCAATTTTCAATTTGATACTGGGAAGATTTATGTAAATTGATGCAGAATAAAGTGAGCAAAACCAGAAGAATTTATACTGTAAAGCACAACAATGTTGTCAATGAACAACTTTCAAAGACTTAAGAACTCTGAATGAAATGATCAGCTGTATTCCAGAGGATTGATGATGAAGCATATTAACCACCACCTGCCAGAGAGGTGATGGACTCAGGAGTGCAGAATGAGACATTTTTTTGGATGTGACCAATATGGGAATTTGTTTTGCTTGACTATGCATATTTGTTAAAAGTTTTTTCCCCCTTTGTTCTTTTTTCCCTCCAAGTAGGGGAGTGAGGAGAAAAAATAGATTTTTAATTGGAAAAAAAACTGATTAAAAAGAAAACCGTCTGTTCATAGCTATTGAGGAGGGACTCCTATTCTTGTAAATTTGAACCAGTTCCTTATATATTTTGGAAATGGGAATCTTATCAGAGAAACCTATTGTAAAGATAATTCCCCCCAAACCCCCCCCCCAAAAAACTTTCCCTTCTAATTTTAACTGCACTGGTGTTTATTTTAATTTTATGTAATCAGAATTGCTCATTTTATTTTCTGATCCACTCTATTACTTTTATTTTTTTGGGGTATGAACTCTTCCCCTTCATATATGGAATTTGTTTGTAATGTGATCTTTTGTATCTAAGCCATAGATCCGTTTGAAATTGGATTTGCTACCTGGTGTGATCTTTTAACCTAAATTTAATTTCTGCTACACAGGTGAGAGTCCTTTCTCCAGCTGAACTGCCAAGCATTCAAACTCCATTGTACGTTGAGCATCAAACATAGGTTAGCCTAAAAGACTTTTACAGAGAACTCACACAAGGCAAGCCAAGTGCTCATATGGAGGTTATAAGAAGCAATACAAGGACACTCTAGAGGTCTCTCTGAATTTTGGAATTGATTGAGACACGGGAGGCATTGGCACAGGACTGCCCAGCATGATGTACCCATATCAAAGAAGTCGCTACGCTCTATAAGCAAAGCAGATTTGCAGGAGCTCAAAAGAAATGTGAGATGTGCCAATTTAGAGCCATCTCCATTCCAAATATTCATATGGACCATTTGTGCCCCAGCTGTGGTGGAGCCTTCCAAGCTCCTATTGGTCTGACTAGCCACAGTTGGACACACTGTACCTTGACCCCAACATAGTGATATCATTTTGGTCCCCTTCAAGAACAAAGGAAAACCAATTTCTGCCTGATTTCCAGTTTTTCTAGAAGTTTTTGTCAAATATCAAACCCTTGCCTCAGAAGTTTATTTGGGTTTATTAGACACAATGCCCCTTTGCTTTTGTATACTATGTATCTTCTCTAATCAGTGCCAAATTGCTACCTACTGTTAAAAACCTAAAAATGCAATATCTTCCCATTAGTTTCCAAGTACAACTTGATATAAGGGAAAATGGAAATTTACTAGTCGAATTTCAACAAAAACTTTTGCACAATTGTTGCGTGGTATTGAAAATTAGTATCATGATTTAGTAAACACAGCTCTTGATGCATGTTGGAACAAAGTATTTTTAGGAATTGTCTTTTTCAGTCAATCAGCAAGCATCTATAAAGCACTTACTATGGTGCTTAAAGGTAGCACTGCACTGGCTAGAACGCTGGGCCTAAAGTCAGGAAGACTCATCATCCTAGTTCAAATCCAGCCTCAGACACTTACTAGCTGTGTGACCCTGGGCAAGTCACCTAACCCCATTTGCCTCAGTTTCCTCATCTGTAAAATGAGCTGGAGAAGGAAATGGCAAAACACACCAATATCTTTGCCAAGAAAACTCCAAATAGGATCACTGAAGAGTCTGACATAGCTGAAAACAACCGAACAACAACAATGGTGCTTAATCCTTGGCACTGTGCCAAGAGCTGACCTCCAAAGACAAAAGGGTCCTTGCTCTCAACGAGCTCCCGGTCTAATGGAGATGACACCCATTTAAAATCATGTAAACTGAATTTAGAACCAGACCTTTAAATCGCTGTTATCACAAAGTATTAAACCAAGATTTTTAGAAATAATAAAGCAATCATGTTGCTGTCAGGAAAATCATCACCAATCATTATCAGTAACAATAAGAAGAGATGTTTTAGGGAGGGCCAAGTGGTTTTTTTCTTACCGTTCACTTATGGTGTTTATGAAAATATTTAAAATATAACTTACTGCATCCTTTCTTTGTATATGTTTTATAATGCAGACACATTTCGAAACACGCAAATAAAATACTTCTAACTTGAAAAATAAAATGAAATTAACTTTTTAATAAAAGGCAAAAATAGTCTGGGAATGCATGCCTAACTTTTTTTTTCTTTTAATGACAGCACAGCACCATTCAAAAAGTTTTAACTAGCCTATGACCGTTGCACCCCTAGCTCTCGCTCAGCTCTAGGGAGACCCCGTTGCTTTTCAGCTTAGCGCTTCCCGCCCGTTGGGAAGGAGCCGAAAGTAGCAGAAGGCGCGCTCCCACCTTCCCCGCTAAGGAGCTGAGCGGCCCCGCCCTTTCGGAAAGCGGGGAAGGGGGGAGCTAACATTTCCCTCCCTTTTGGAAGGAGGGAAAAGGAGCCGATGGCCCCCCACCCCCTCGCCCCGCCCAGTCCTAGGAAAGAGGGAATGGTTCCCTCCAGTTGGGCGGGGGCTGAGCTCTCCCCTCTCCACGACTCTCCCTCCCTTCCGAGAGTAGCCGAAGGGAGCTGAGCGCCCCGACTCCGTCCCGGAAAGGGCCCCGGGAGCCCCCCTCCCCACTCCACCCCGGAAGGAGCCCCTCAGAGCCTGGCGCCCTCCTTGCCTAAGCCGCCCCAGCGCCTCCTTCACCCAAGAAGCACCGGGCGGCGAGCACCCCAAGGGGGAGAGAAGGCCGGCCCGGCGGGAAGCGCTTCCGGAAGGAGAGCCGGCCGCGGCCGCGATCCCGCGGAAGGAGGCAGCGATTGGCTCCTGGGGCCGCAGCCGCGTGAGGAGGCGCTGGGGCCCCGGCGCCCCGCGCACATCGCCCCCTGCCGGCTCTCGGAGCGGCCGCAGCAGAGGAGAGGCTGGCTCCAGCGGCCGCGGCGGCGGAGGCGGCAGCGGCAGCTCCCGAGCAGCAGGCGGAGGGCTGGCAGCGGGGCTACGGGCTTCCCGGAGCACGAGAGGAGGAAGAGCCGGAGCTGGAGCCGAAGAGGAGCAGGAGCGGACGCGGTGCCCGCGGCCCCTGGGGACCAGGTGAGGAAGGGCTCCGCTGATCGGGGCTCGCTTGGGCTGGGCCGGTGCCCCCTCATGCAAACCAGGAAGCGACAGCTCTGAGCCTCGGGATTTTCCTTTGTGCGGGGAGGGGGGGTGCTCCTCAAGCCCGGAGAGGGGGGCGTCCGGGGGGGGGTGCTGAGTGCAAGACACAGCTGCTGGATGGACAGGTTTCTCTATGCCTAGGCCCCGGGACCAGACGAGAGGGAGCCTTTTACTATTGCCAGTGCCCTTCCCTCTGGGGCTCCTTCTTTCTCCCACTTGACCCTGGCCTAATCCGCGCTTCTTTTCCCCCCTTTCCCCTCCCCTACTCGCCCCTTCGGGCCACTTCCCGGGCCATAACAATGCAGCCTGCTTCCCTGTCTCCCTCCCTCCCTCTCTCAATAACCAGCAATCTGCTCCCCTCGACACTCCCCACTCTTTCCACTCTATTCACTAGCTTGTACTTTCCCCTATATGTGCCTGTTCTTCTTGGATCTCTCCCCCCCACCCCCCACCTTGCACCGGTAGCTGGTGCGAGACTTGTCCTCCCCAAGGAAAACGCAGGTTGTAAACCTTGCTTTCAACCTACTGGCCTCAAAGGGTAAGGGAAGGGGGGGGGGAGCAGGTGGAGGAAGGGAGACAGGTTTCAGTTTCTGCAGTGATCCCCCTATATTTGATTCCCCATATCTGATCCTGTGTTATTTCCTCTCTATATCCCCTTCTCCATCACCTCTGCTTGTCCCCCCCAGTCCCCCCACCCCCCACCCCAGTGAGAAGGTTGAACACAAAATGGTTGTGCAGCAGGGATATTCCACAAAGTGTGGTTGTGGATCCTCAATTTCTCAACCCAAGAAAAACAAACAAACAAATGGAACTCCACCAACTTGCAAGGTTTCCTGTAAATGTCAATTTTCCTTGCTTGCAGTTTAGTAGGACCCCTTTGTGAACCACAGGAAATCGCAGGGCCTTTTTCGGAAATCCTGCCTACTAAAAAACTGACTACTGTGTTGAAATTCCCACATTTAGGAATCTCAGATTGTTGGCATAAAGCCCAGAAGTCACTCTTTTTCATCTGATGGATTCCTTTATGTTACCCTTAAACTGTTGGATGTTGGATTGACAAGAAATGCTCCGCAAAGTAATATCTGTGCTATTTTAATCATGCCACATTCTGGTGATTTTTGAAAAACTGCACCTTGGATCATGTCAGTGTTGCTTTAGAACTCTGAAGGAAAAGAATATTCATGATACTAACATTCTTTTTTCTCACAAACCAGTGTGATTTTATTGATGGTGTTTGCCCTGATCTTAGTATATTAATTATTATTATTATAAACATCTTTTTCAAGTTTTCAAAATGTTCTTATTAATTAGCTGTGTCAAGAACAGAGCAGCATTTCAGTATTGTCTTTGGCCAGGTGTTATTCCCTGTTTTTGGGAGATTTTCTGAATTGCCTTTGTCATTTATGCATTCAAAAGTTACAACTCTGATATAGTGGTAGAGAACAAGTCACTCCATGCACGCATGGTGTATTTATTATATTATTTTCTTAGGATTGTAGAATTTATTGACCATCTAGTCCAGAAGTTCCCAAACTTATTTGACCTACTGCCTCCTTTTAAAAAAATTACTCTTTGACCCCTTGGAAATCTAATTTCTTTAGCCCTTTAACTTTTTTTTTTTTTTGGAAATTTGTATCATTTCAAAAAATATATAAATTTTTTTAAAAAAAATGATGCATTTTAAATTTAATAATTTGTTGTAAATTTGTGGGTTTTTTCTACATTGAAATTTTGATGACACAATATTTTGTCATGTAACTGTATAGTATTGTGTTATAAACAAGTCATTACATTAACATATTCCTGCCGATGCATGCTGGACTTCTGACAATTCGACACATTTGCCTGCCAACACTTGCTTGTTAAGACCTGTTGTCAGACTTGACCACTGATCAGTTGTAACTTGCATTTTGTGTGTTTATTTGGAAAATAATGTAATCACTATGGCTTTAACTCTGTTGCTCAACAGATGAAACATGTACCAATAGTTTTTCAGAATTTTCTTATCTTCTTTCCTTACGCTTCCACTGCCCCTTAGTTTTATTCAACACCCCTCCCCCAATTGCAATTGAGGCTGCTACCACCCCCCTGGATCGTTTCAGTGCTCCCCAGGGGGTGGTATTGCCCACTTTAAGAAAGTATGAGTCCAACCCCCTCATTTTACAGAGAAGAAAGATGAAGCTTTGAGTAGAGCTAGGACACAAACCTAGATGGTAGGGCCTTAAAGTTGGAAAGGACCTTACAGGTGATCTAGTCCTAATCCCCCATTTTACAGATAAAGAAACTGGGGCCCAGTTAGGCAAAAACTTGCCTAAAGTCACACAGGCAACCAATATTGAGGTTAGGATTCAAACTGAGGCACCTAGGTGGTTCAGTGGATAGGGTGGTGGTTCAGTGGATAGGGTGGTGGTTCAGTGGATAGGGTTGCTGGTCCTGGTCAAGAAGACTTGAGTGTGGCCTCAGACACTTCCTAGTCTTGTGATCATGGGCAAGTCTGTCTTTCTCAATTTCCTCAACTGTAAAATGAAGATAAGAATAGCACCTACCTCCAAGGTTGTTGTGAGGATAAAATGAGCTAATATTTGCACAGTGCTTAGCACAGTGCCTGGCACATAGTAGGTGCTATATAAGTGCTAGCTATTATTATTACTATTATTAAACCTATGTTGTCTGACTTTGATCATAATTAGTTCTCTGATCACTACCATGATGCTGCTTCAACAAATCTGACATTCTTTTGAGGAAGTTAACTAAACCTCTTCACCCTTGACTGTGAAGGAGAAGAAAGTTATTCTTGTTGATAACTAACTAGCTTGAGTGGGGGCAGTTGTGTTTGAACTAGAGTGGATAGTGACTGCTGAGAGCAGAATGAGCAGGCCAGTCACAAATAAAAGGACTTGAGTGATTTCTCCCAGTGTTTTTTCCCCTAAAAAGATGTTTCCAGTACTTGAATGAAAACCAGAAATCATCAGGAACTTTTCTTCTAAATATTGATTTTAAATTAACTTATGGGCCAAGGAAGATAAGAAGAAATGTTCTTTAGTGGTTAACAATGTTGGGTAAATGTCAGAACTGAATCAAGCCTCAAATTTATAGCACAGAGTGACAGCTGGAAACAATTGGTGGGAGAAAGAGAGAGACAACATTTTGTAAAAAGTCAATGGAAAGAGGATGAGAACACATACATTCTTCCTTCCTAGAAACATATAGTGTACTGACAGATATGAAGCTTTAGCGAAAATTGGGCAGGAATGGATCATTTGCTTGTGTGGCTCTTGGGCATTTATTAAGTACCTTCTGTGTGCAGGCAGGCACTGTGTTAGAGAGGATACAGAGACCAAAATGAAATAGTCCCTGTCCTCAAAGTGCTTGTGTTCTGTCAGGGAAGACAACAGGTACATATGTAAGTGTATACCAAATAAATAGAACGCTCTTTATTGTTTGAAACCTATCTATATTCAATCAGAGCTCCTTGATGAACTAATTGTATGAGAGCAGTTATTAGTAGTTAAATGTATAGCACATAATAGTAGCTAACGTTTGTTTATGTAGCCTTTTAAAAAAGGTTCACAAAATGATTTTGCAAAGCACTTACATGAAATAGTAAACCCTGAAAGGTCTTATGTACTTTTGTCAAAGATTATATCAAATTGGTACATCACTATGGTTGAAAAGATTCATCCCCCAGTGGCCAGTCTTAGATGAACCACTCAAAACTTAGCTTGGTTGGTCCTTAAGACATCAAGTGTCTAGTCTGTTGCTTGTACCCGGCTCGGCAGCACCTTCCAGAGCTCTGTTGCATACCCATTAGGAATGCAGGTTTATCTCCACCCTGGGTTGAGGTATTAGAGGGTGATGGTGGTGGAGGGACTGACTAGGTCACACCAGTGAAGAAAGCCCTGCTTAGTCCTCAGGGAAAAGACATAAAATTGAACATGTGAACAATTTATATAAAAGTAAGAAAGATTAGGTAAGACCATGGAGATTCGAGCTGGAAGGGATCTCAGGCATCAGACCTCAGGATCTCATCCAATGCTTTCATTTTACAGAGGAGGAAACTGAGGCCCAGAGAGGGGAAGGGACTTGCCCAAGGTCACAAAGTCAGTAATTGGCAGCACCTGGATTCTAATCCAGGGCCTCTGCCTCCAGGTCTGTTATACTTATACAGTGCAATCTCCATGGGTTGAAACTAGGAGCTGCATACAGGTATTGAAATTATATGTTAAAAATGTTTAAATAGTAAAATGTTTTTGTTTTCTTCCCTCCCATCTTTCTTTCCCTGCTTTTTCCTTTTTTTTTTTCCTGTAGGCATGGAGAACAGAAAGCTTATTTCTGCCACAGATACTCAGTACTCTGGTAATCTACTGAACTCCTTGAATGAGCAACGAGACCATGGCCTGTTTTGCGATGTCACTGTGATTGTGGAAGATCGAAAATTCCGGGCCCACCGGAATGTTCTGTCCGCATCAAGTACTTACTTCCACCAGCTTTTTGCAGTTGCTGGGCAAGTGGTAGAACTAAACTTTATAAGGGCAGAGATTTTTGCAGAAATTCTCAACTATATTTATAGTTCTAAACTTATGCGTATTAGATCAGATCTACTTGATGAGTTAATTAAGTCAGGGCAGTTGTTAGGAGTTAAGTTTATAGCAGATCTTGGTGTACCTTTGTCACAGGTTAAAAGTATCTCAGGTGCAATAAAGCAAGATAGTGGTGATACCTTAGCTCCTGGGACAGATGAAAAAGATCTTCAAGTGCAGAAGGCAGAAAATGAAGGGTCTGATGCTGGGATAACTATGATGCCTGTTATCACTGAGACTTTTTCTTTATGTGCTGAAGATTATGAGACAAAAAAAATTGGTACTGATTCTGATGAAGACGATGATGTCATTTTCTGCTCCGAAGTCTTACCTCCCAAAGAGGCTTTGCCAGGTGGTAATGCGGCAGCACAAGTCCAGCCTGACCCAGGGCCTGTTGCCTATGCAGATAAGGCTTGTGGTACTAGTAGCTCACCCCCTCTAACAAATAAACCACTGCAGACAATTGCTACTTCTGCGAACCAGATGGGCCCAAGCCAAACCCGAAATAGTGAAGAAACACTTAAGTCTTCAGCCCCAAAGCATCTGACTCCCAACATCATTTTGTTAAATCAGCCATGTCTTAACTCCCTACCAAGTTCTTCACATCCTAGTCAGGTGTCTCCTTCTGTTAATTTACTTGTACAGAATCATCAGCAGACATCAAATAACAGCATGGCTTTACCTAAACGTAGGGCTAATGTAGAAGTGGAAGCAGAGATTATAGATGATGATGATGACACTATTAGTTCTAGTCCAGACTCGGGAGTCAGTAATCCCTCTTTGCTCCCCCAGCCTGATGCTGCTTTTAATGGCTCTGTAGTCCAGTCAAAGCAGGTCTCTCTTTTTCATCAAGAACCACTCTGTAACTCTTTAAAAATTTCAAACGTCATTGCTGAAAGTAGTAAGGAGTCAGGTGGAGGTGCGAAACATGTGATGGAGGGTCAGAAGATCATTACGCTGGATACAGCGACTGAAATTGAAGGTTTATCTACTGGTTGTAAAGTTTATGCAAATATTGGGGAGGACACATATGACATAGTGATTCCTGTCAAAGATGACCCTGACGAGAAAGAGGCCAAGCGTGATAGTGAGGTCCCGAAAACATCTGGCGATGAGCCTTCGAACAAGCGCGTGAAAGTCAAACATGATGATCACTATGAATTAATTGTAGATGGGAGGGTGTATTATATTTGTATCGTGTGCAAAAGATCTTATGTCTGTCTGACAAGTTTGCGGAGACATTTTAACATTCATTCTTGGGAGAAGAAGTATCCGTGCCGTTATTGTGAGAAGGTATTTCCCCTTGCAGAATACCGCACCAAACACGAGATTCATCATACTGGAGAGCGTCGGTATCAGTGTTTGGCCTGTGGCAAATCCTTCATCAACTACCAGTTTATGTCTTCACATATAAAGTCAGTTCATAGTCAGGACCCTTCTGGTGATACCAAACTATATCGCCTACATCCATGCAGGTCTCTGCAGATCAGGCAATATGCTTACCTTACTGATCGGCCTAGGAGTATACCTGTAATAAAGGAAGATGGAATTGTGTATAAGGTTGATGGTGGGAAAGAACCTTCAGAAGGGACTGCCACATCTACTCCCCAAAGCAAGCCAATGACTTGGGATGATATCTTTATTCAACAGGGAAATGATTCAATGTTTAAACAAAATGTAACAGATGGCAGCACTGAGTTTGAATTTATAATACCAGAATCCTACTGAATTGCTTTGGGGGAAAAAACCAAAACAAAACCTGAGTTTGTGTCAGGGGGCAATGGTTTCAAAAGACCAGTAAATTTAAATTGGGGTGAAAGCAAGTTAATTAGTCATTCAGAGTCATCCGAAAGTAGTTTTTATTTGCATTATTTTTAGTTACAGGAAATTGGTAGGAGCAAATTTATCTGAAATTTTACTTGAATATAAATTGAGGAGTTATCTCCAGGGCAAGCTGTTTGTTAGTTTATTTTCGGGGTTTTTTTGTTTGTTCGTTGGTTTTTTAAGAAAAATTAATGGTATGAAGAGGTAGAATTTAAAAAGAATTTGAAGCAGTCACTCCTCTCTAACAGGTATTATTGGCATACCTGAAAAATTGAACCTATTTTATGAATTTTCTATTATGTATAGCACTTTACTGCTGATTTCTGCAAAAAAAAAAACCCATTTGAACAATGAGTCTACAATTTTTGTGTTGTTTAACGTGTATGAAATAAAAATATCCAGCAGCTTTGAAAGTTATTTTGAAAAGGTTCAAAATAACTATCCTGCCCACTTGGATGGCATACTTTGGGTCCAGCAGTGCCGTATCGCTCTGGTCCAAATGGATTGTTAAACTCCCATCCGGATAGTTAAACCTGTCCTTTCTTATAAGCTTGTCACCTGGAACAGTGATAGAATTGGGCTCATCAGAACAAGCTTGACTTATATCTGGCCATGTACCGAAAGAGACCGATGGCTGGTCCACTTTATCCCTTTGCCACATGGGATATGCAGAGGGAATCATGACGGACTAAGATCTGAATGGTATGGAATGGAGAAAAAGGAGAAGTCCTGCAGCGATTATTTTGTTAGGAAATTGTCAAGAGCTCTCAACTTCAGACACAGAATGAAGTTAGGAAGCGTTATTGATTTGCTCGTGACTGACGGGCCCAGATTTATGTAATGTTACTTTTACTTTTTTAATCTGAAGGCTGCATTATGGGCTTGCATATGTGCATAAAACTATAAAAATACCTAAACTCCATGGTTTTGGGGGAGGAGTCCCTCGATGTAAATTCTTAAACCTAGAATTTTCTAGTAGGAAGTTTTCATTTAAAACAATTGATGTGTTTGTTTTTTTTTTTCCTCAAAGAAAAACCTTAGCTTTTTATGTGTTCTAAGGTATGCTTTGCTCTATTCTACCTGCAAATCACTGTGATGCTACAGCATTTGGAAACTTTGTGTGGAATCATGTTGGCCTACCGGCCTGTGTGTCATCTTCAAAGTGACGCACCGATGGGAAACTTTCATTGGAAAGGCTAGTAAAGTGAGCAAGCACATATACTTCACTTAGTTATTTCCTAAGTCAGCCTGTTGAATTTTCTGTAAATGATTTGCAAAAAGAAAAAAAAATGTAAAAAATACAAAAAAAAGTTAATACGAAAAGGTTGTGCATAGTAATAGTTATTTGTAACCTTTCATTAAATATTTCTTATCTGACAGTTTAAAAGAATTTTTCTTTTTATGTATTATAAGAAATAACTTTTTTTAAGCTTAAAGCTTTAATTATAAGTTTTCATGCATATGTCATTGTTGCCAAGATGAGTTAGATTTGAAGATGATGATTTTAAAGCTTCTAAAGCTACAAAGGTACCAGAAATCAGTATTTTTAATAAAAGGAGAACAAAACATAAATCATTCTTTGCCTAACCAGGTGTATGCTGTGCATATGTTTTCTGTCTTGCGTGTGAATAGATTTTTCAAATCATGATCATTTTGTAAATTAACCTTTTTAAAAAATTGGGAAGTAGCTTTTAATTTAAGACCCTGCTACCAGAAACCACAGTAGTAGAGTTTGTGTATAGATATTAATGATGTTATTCTTTGGTCATAAGAGTGTACTTGCTTTGAAAAATGTTCTTGGTTGAATTTTATTCGTTTCATTAACATACTTCATCAGTTAAACACGATTATTATGAGTGTGAACAATACCTATACCAGCATAGCTTTCAGACCTTTCAGACCTAATGGCCTATGTACAGTTCAACACATAGACACATTTGGTCACACTAAGGCTTGGTAAGTTTTATGAATCTGTTGTGACAAATGGGGAATTCCTTGTACCACTCCAATTCTTTATTCAGAATGAAGTGGATGTAATTATTTGCTGCTGAATGTGCCCTATTGAAGTCCTGATCCTTAAATTTAAGCCCTATGCCTATTAAAGGTCACTTTTTGAAGGGCTAGAGGGGAGCAGGGGTTTTGAGGAAAACTGGAAAAATTAACATTAAATTGTATTTCTGCCAGAAGACTCTTACTTGCATGTGTCTCAGGGTCTTCAGTTTTCCTAGGAGTAATTTCAATATCCAAAGTCCAGAGCGCATATGAAAAACTTTTGGGGGGGAATAAAACCCTTCACTTCTAGTATTTATTGGGTTGAAAATGTGTAGGGGCCCCTGTTGATGATTTTTTATGGGGCCTGTTGGCCTTTAGATCTCAGCCTGTTGCACTTACTGTTTTGGTTGTTAACGCTAAATTTCCTGTAAATATTAGCAGATGTTGATGCTTTGAAACAGTACTCGCATTTGAAACAGTTACATAATTTGACAACGCTGAAAGTCTTAGCAAAATCAGGAAAAAAAATGCCATAGCAAACTTGCAAGAACCATTTTGAAATACTTTCAATGTTCATAATGATTTTTAGTGGTGAATATCCTCCGCCCTGTCACTAAGGGAAACTCTGCTACGTCTTTCCAGTATAGCAAAGAGCAACATAACACATTCGAGGTAATCATTGTCAGAGGCTGCATATTTATTTTCTGCTGTTGTTAAGGCATGACTATTATCAAGGTCCGAGAGCCGATAAACTGTACATTGTCTTAAGAGCTTTGACTTCCATAGCTCCGAATTCAAACTGTCTGCTGTTTATTTTTACTGACACTGTAATGTGTATATATACACTTGTACAGTCTTTGCTTAACTTTTTAAAGTTGTGCTTTAAACTTTAACCAGTAATTCTTGCTCTTAGTTTTTAGAAGCTTTCTATGGCAAAAATAAAAAAAAGTTTTAATTCTGACTGTCAACCGTCTTTATTTCAAAAGGTCGTCTTTTAGGACTGTGATTAATTTCTCACCTAAAAATCTCCCTCTTAGGGGAATACATATGTAGTCATAGATATTTTGGGTGTGGTGGGGAGGCCCTCTCCCTGGGCATACATACCATATACACATGGATTTCAAAAAAGTTGCCAAACCAGATTGAAAAAGCAGAGTGATGCCGTTTAGAGAACACGTTCAGGGACAGGCATACTTGTTTTCCTTGACTTGACTGAACAGTGAAAAAATAGAAAATTTCTTCCACATTTGTATTACTTTTAAGTTTTGGCAGTTGGACATCAGAGCTAGATTTTTGTTGGCCGATCCCCCCCCCCCCTTTTTTAAATTTTGGATCAGACTTGTGATTTCATTAACATAGGGAACTCCCAATAAGTAAATTCCCTTTACCAATCTGCACCTTGGTCTTAGAAGTTCCTTAGGCACGGATCACGGAGCTAGACAAGATTATGCATTGCAAAGCACACCTCTTAAAAGTTCATAAGCAACAGCCTAAGGGTGGAAATTAGCCTCTGTGTCCCTATATAGCTACAGGTGTGAAGCCTGTCTGAGGATCAGATAGGCATTTCTGTTGACACCTTGGCAAAACTTCTGATAGGGTTAGTTTGTTTTTCCTGTTGGATTGGTTGAGATCTCCCATCTTATGTGTCGTCTCCAGCCCCTACAGAAAAATGAAAATCTACAGTTTTAGACAAGTTATATTTAAGTTAAAAGCATGAGAAAGACAAGTGAATGTTCATACTTTTAATTTCTTTTAGGGATGAAAGAGAAGGATAGTTGAATTAATCAGAAACATCACAAAAGCAGTCAATTTCAAACATGGCAGTGATACAGGTTTTAAGCAACACTCCATTGATACAGATTCTGGATTAATAGTTGATATTTTCATGCCTTGTTTAGCACTTGAATATAGAATGAAGAATAAGGCATTAAATATTACAAAATGCAATCAAAATACATATTTTGGAAACATTCCTTCATTACTGCAAACATTTTGCTAAATTAAGATATTGATATTTCTTATAATGTATTTTATATATATATATATATATGTATATGTAGTTTGGTGTAATAAATACTGATAAAGCTGCTCAAATTAATTTAGTATTACAAAATCCATAATGCATTATTTTTCAGTTACTTTGGAAAGTAAGAAAGATACATAGAAATGAGATCCTTATAATCTTAACACTTTGGTGTGCAGAAATGTGATGGTACAAAGTAACTATATTTTTTCAAAATTAAATGCTGGGGCTAAAGGAAAAGAATAAACAAGATGCCAATGATGATACAAGTTAACATCATAGAGTAGCAAGACAAATCATATATTCTCTATGTAGAATTCAATGGAATCCCCTTTTCCCCCTCTCATGCTTAGATTTGCAGAAAAATAAATAGCAATTTTGTTAAGAATTACTGGGGGGTTTTTTCAGACCCTAAATCTGGATGACAAAACTCATGATGCTAATATTGTTTTCCAAAGAGATGCACTGAGCAAATTGAGTGCATTTTAAAGGCATTAAGGAATCCTGCAGCTAGGTGTCTACAAATACCTATTTGGATAACCAGCACCTGTCTACTACCTCTAGACCCTAGCCTGCTCTATTAATATTGATCATTTGTCAAATTGGGGGAAAAAGTGACCTGTTTGCCAAAGGACTCAATTTTTCTTTGGCCCCTCTATTTTATAATACCCAAATGTACGATTATCAAATTGTTCCTTTAGCACTCTTCTTTCATATAGTATTTACTTATCTCTTCATAGGCTGAGTCCCCCAATTGGAGTAAAAGCCCCTTGAAGGCTGGGACAGATTTTTTTGCAGTAGTTTAATTGCACTGAAAGTCTGTATTTGGTGGAGGACCAGGTGTTAAATTTTGTAGTGGGAGTCAGCCTCACCTTGGGTGTCATGAGGGTCAAACAAATAATGTACATAAAGCGGTAAGCACCATATACATATCTATTATTTGAACTTCACTAGTATGGTTTGAAGCTTGGAATACTTTTTAAAAGCTGCTCAGATGCTTTACATCTACTATAATACTTAGAAATTGAGCGAGATGACGATGTCGCAGTTTTTACAGAAGTCGGGCAGGAGCCTGACATAGTGGAATGATTTCATTGCTGTTCTGCAGAATGTGTGAAGTTTGTTAGAATGCTCAACCGGCCCAGTTTTAGAAGATTAAATAGCCACAGAGATCACAACAAATCACTGACAATCCAAGACAAGCTAGCACTAACGAGAACACACAGAATTGTATCCAAGTAAGATGTGTATTTTTCATCGAAGCAAAATGTGTAATATCCACAGGTTCCTGGATCTACTTTTTGGACCCACTTTTGAAAAACCTCACTTGTATGTCTGGATGGTATGTGAACAAATCCTGATATCCCCACTAAAGGAAGGGGAGGAACTATTGCACTTTTCCCTTTGAGAGGTACCACTAATGAGATCTGAGCTCATTTTTTTTTTTTGCATCACTCAGGAGAGTAAAATAACTCTGGTGAGGTCCCATCAGCTAGGGACTTCGTTGGGGCCTGGCTGGTTGAAGGTAGGGGTGTTTCAATTGAGGGGCCAGGTGGCTGAGGGCTATGGCCAACTTGCATAAAATGAAAAATGGCAATTTGGCCACTGCTGAATGCAGGTGGAGTGGGAAGGTGTAGGATGCGGCATGCTAAGTCCTTGCTATGCGGGATCCCCCGCAAGCATGCTTGCAGAGAGAAGGTGAGATGATCTCAGTTAAATAGAAGTAGTGGGTTTCACCTAGTCACCCCCTCTTCTGCACTGATAAATAATAAGCATCACCTTCCCCTGCCCGGGCAGGCAAATCATGAAACTGCAAATACATTGGAAGGATCACATCTTAAACTCAGCCAATGCTACAATAACAGACATCCATGATCTCAGTGGTGGGCAGGAGTTCTTCATCATGGGCTATATGGAGGCGGCTTTTCAAAAGGCGAATAATATGGTGGGGAGTACTGTGGTGGCTCATTGGAGGACCACATGTAACTCGGAGAAGGTGAATTAGACTGAGGCTCATCAGAAAGTCCTGGCGGGTTGGAGCCTGGAAAGACACTGGTATGCTGTGTGAAGAAAACAAAAGTCAGTTCAAGGCCAAGTTGGTCGTTCTTTGAACAAACGGTTAATATACTCAAGAATACAGTATCCATCAAAATAATTTCTGCTCGTTCATCTTTGAGTTTCACATTTTCCCATCAGAGGCAGCTTGGCATAGTGGCTCGAGAGCTGCCTAAAAGCTCAATGACCTGGGTTTCAGTTTTACTTCTGACATAACTGGCTACATAACCCTGGACAGGGTCACTTAGATACTCAGTATTAGTAGTATCAAATTCAAGTAGAAACTAAATCATAAACTTTTTTTTTTGAATCATCAATCGAGCATTTATTAAACTACTACTACATGCCAGGTAGAAACCAGCTGTGGCAGCTTTATTGTCCTGGATGGTGAAAAATTTGTTATTAAAAAATCTTTGCAGTCCACTTCCATTTTCTAGTTGTCTTATCTCCATTTTCACCCCTGCATGGCCTTGGGAAAACTGCTTAGTTGGGTCTCTTGCCAAGTTGCCTTTAAATTGGTTTTTACCCTCAGCTGCCTCTCTCTTTTATGAGAAGATACTGCTTACAGTCTTCAAGCATCTTTTTTGGTAAAAACTGAAACACAAGTTTCCAAATGAATTTATAGTTATCCTTTCCACATCACAGGGATTAGAGGCGCCTCCCTCCCCGTGATCTGGAAAATCTTGAGTAAATTTTTTTGGCCCCCACTTTGTACCACAGAAGAAGTTTGATTTTTTTTTCTTTTTCTTTTATGGAGTATTTACAGTATCTTATTGTAAAATTTGGGCTAAGTATTTGGTCATAGGCTCTGTGTTGTCTGATGGCCTTTGGGTGTTGTCTGCAGCTTCCACAAAACTTCCCCAAAATTCCCATTTAATTTCTTATGCCAACCCACGATATATTGAAACCGTGATGGGGAAAAGTCACGATGTGGAAGGGATAACTGTATGTTGTAATTGTGTATTGCTATTGGCTGTCACATCTTTCTGCCTCACTTAAGTGTCTACTGCATACTGCAGTAATTTTTAGACTCCTTTGGTTTCCTCATTATGGCAACCGAACAACACTGATTAAACTTTTGTATGCAGTCATTGTTTTGCAGTTGTTTTAATTATATATTGTATCTTGTCCCCCTTTCCTCTAGCTATGTACCAAGTTTGGTCTTTGATCTGATAAGTCAGTGCATAGCAACAGCTACTTTGGGAATGACTCCCACATCAGTAACAAGTCATCTCCTGTCTGTTAAAACAGCAATTTCATTTTTTGGTGATGCTATTGGGTACTTGCCATGTCCAGTGTCTTCTGATACTTTCTTGAAGAAAATATTCATGGTTCATAGGAATGAAGCTTCTGTATAGTTAAAAGTCTATGAACCCTCTCAATACCATATTCCAATCAATATTTTACACCTATGTTTCTCTATAATCTCACTTGTTCCCACATTTCTATTGAGGTCATTGAGTATTCAAGTGTATATTGATTTAAATTTGAAGGGTCTTATCAAGTTCTTTGTAGAACTCTACCTCTTCATCATTGGCAACAGATGTCTGTACATACATTGAAATTCTTTTCATGGTAGACTTTGCTAGTTCTGTATGGTGATATCATCTGAAACAATGTTTCTTGTTACCTTTGAGTACGTGATAAAGTTGACTTTGCTAACTTCTTTTTTGTCTCTCTAAGGAGCAGACCCATCATGCCATTTAGCTACAGCTTCACTCATTCTTCAGGTCTCATTTATAACAAGAATGTTAACATGGCTGCTAGCTTGACTGATTTAGATTATCAACAACCAAGTTAAAGTTTATAGTTTAAAGACTGCTCCCTTTTGATGGCACTGTTTCCATTACTGTCGAAGTGAAAAAGGACTGCAAAGGACCGAA